GTATGTAGACATGGAAATTATTAATAACACGTTAACTATTGTTGAAAAGATAATTTGTGGGGGCTCTCAAGCTCCCTCTCAGCACTGTGTATGTGCTGGTTGGCATTGTTTAAAAGACGAAAAAGTGTAAAGACTTTCTGCAAACCAGGCAATTTTTTATTCAATAAGCTAGCGTAAGAGCCAAACTAAAAAACTGTGCCATTTTATGCACCACGGGAACAAGAAACCTGTCAATCTGCAACTACCTATTCTACATCCATTTGAGATCAACTTTAACTACAGGAGTATAGCCAAGAGGATCCAATCTACAGCCTGTGTTTCTCTATGGGAGAGGGACATAATTTATTTTTTGCTTCACTCTGGAATAAGTACAAATATTAAAACACACCTCTGATGTCAAGGTGCAAGTTAAACTGCTTTACAGTCTAATAAAAGCTATAAACTTTTCTCCTAGTGTAATTTCTCACAGCAGTGTCAACAAGATGATATAAAAATATACATAGTGTTCATCTGTAAATTCCACTGCGATAAAACTGATTTCCTAAGTGATTTCGTATATTCAGACTTTCTTCTAGAGCTGAAATATTGCTTGCTTGAGCCTTGTGAAAGCTATTTATTTTTAACAACCCATACTAATTTTGTATTATTTCCCATAAATGAAACACTGCCACTTTTTAAATCAGAGATAATTTGTCTGATGAACTACTTTAGCCTGAAGGTTTACTGTAAGTGTGCCTGTGAAATCCACAGCTTCCATACCTTTCAAACATCGACGCTTACTTGCAAAACCCTCAACAATACATTTTTAAATCCTCAATATAGCAAGACCCTTAAATGTACTCATGTGCTTAAACGTCATGTGCATCATGTTATCCCATTCAGTGGGATTCCCCAAAGTCATAAAGAGCTTAAGCATTTTCCCGTGTCAGATTTGCAACTCTCATGTTAATTAAGTGCTCTGAGCAGAATTAATGGTTACAACTGCCTACAGTGCTTATGGCAGCTACTAGGCTCTCCAACCTTGGACGTGCAACTTCATTAAAACAGAATGAGCAGCAGCAGCACATTTTCAATATCTTTACTGATACAGAATCCAGGCGGAGCTATGTGCCATGAAGAAGGAAGCTTTAGACCCTACATCCAGACACAGCAGGGCACATGAAGCAGGAGCAACTCTTATTCTTTGCTAGTTCTTATGTAAATGTAAGCTCCAAGTACATCTCTGATTTCACCAGCATGCCATGCAGCAAACTGGGGCAATTAGAGAGAGATACATATGTATGATTGAACAGTTACTGTATTTACATAAGACACTAAACTTGGGGTGAAACTCTTTCCCCTCTCCACTAACAACCTCTGTGTGACTGCTTTGTAAGTGGGGAAGAAGATCTGTGAAACCTGATTGCATACTACAGCTGTAACTCAAACTACTGAGAACAACTACTAACCATTTACCAGATAAAACCATCATAGTAGAATGGTTATTCTCCATGTCTGTAGGTCTTCACGCCAGAATCTTTCTGGAAGACATCTGTTATTCAGAAATAGTTACTTGGTTTCATATGGAAATACATGGGTAAACCAGAGCTCAGACTATTTAATATAGAATCACAGAATCAACTAGGTTGGAAAAGATCTTTAAGATCCTCAGGTCTAATCATTACCCCAGGACCACTGCTAACCATGTCACTAAGGGCCTCGTCTACAAGGTTTTTGAACACTTCCAAGGGTAGTGATTCCACCACTTTCCTCAACAGCCTATTGCAATGCCTAACTACCATTTTGGTGAAGAAATTTTTCCCAATATCCAGTCTAAACCTCCCTTGGTGCAGCTTGAGGCCATTACCTCTTGTTCTATCACTTGTTACTTGGGATAAGAGACTGACCCTCACCTCACTACAACCTCCTTTAAGGTAGTTGTAGAGAGTCATAAGGTCTCCTCTGAGCCTCCTCCAGACTAAACAATCCCAGTTCCCTCAGCTGTCCCTCATAAGACTTACTCTCCAGACCCTTCACCAGCTTTGCTGCCCTTTTCTGGACCCACTCACCATCTCTCTTATAGTGACAAGCCCAGAACTGAAAGCAGTATTTGAGGTGCAGCCTCACCAGTGCCTGGTACAGGGGGATGATCACTTCCCTAGTCCTGCTGGCCACCCTGTTTCTGATCGACGCCAGGATATACATCCCTTTGGATTAAGATTCATGACTTATTAATCGCATTTTAAATGTGAGCTATCTTGCACAAAGAATATGGTCTTAGAAAAACTCTAATACCGATCAATTACATAATGATATAGGAACACTGAGTGTTCTTTCCTTTATGTACTTTCATGTGATTTCTTAAATCCCAGCTGGATAAAAATATGTCCTGTCTTCTGTCTAGTTCTACTTCAAGCACTACCAGAATGACATTTTGCTTTCACGTTTTAGTAATATCAGTATTGAGATCAGAGATTTTAAAACTTAGAAAATCTGACATGTTATGTCAAATTACAAAGACAGTATCTGAGAGCAAATGGAAGAACAGACAGACTGAATTAAGTAGCAGAAAAAGGGAAAGAATGATAGGAGGGAAGATAGCAAATATACAGAAGAGAAAGATTAAGCAAACACACTAGTGTAATCAGATGGATATGAAGAAAAAGCACAAATTAGGGATATAAGTTCATACATAAAATAGGAAGCTAGAGATAGTATGGGTGTGATCCCATTAACACTTATGCACATACAAGATTTTATTCATAAGACTTGCATAAGTTAGGGGGTAATGCTCATGTGAGTAACATGATGTACAAGAGGATTTCGCCTTGTGTACATCATGTACATGTGTAAAAACATTTAAGCAGGCATTTTAACTCTGATGAAGACAATGATAAGGCCTAAGGGAAACTTTCACCATGAAAGCTGGTGGAACTGAAATTCTACAAAGAACTGAGAAGAATATGCTAAAGACTAGTTATTTGACAATACAACTAATGTTATCATTCTGTTTGAAGCATAGGAAAGTAAAAGTTGCAGTTTGCCTAGATGTGGAACACGTGTCTGAAAGAAAGCATGATCAATGTGTGAATCCAGAAGCAGGGAATCCTCATCAACCCTCTAACTGCTATCTGCAAGAAGTCTACTAGTAATTCTTAATGGGTGTAATGGCCTTAACTCTTATGGGATTACTTCTGCAGTTTAATGAGACACTGACTGTTGGTTTACCTCAGCCCTGTCTGTAATAATGAGACACCTTTATAGGGCAATAAGCAGCTGGTTTGCCTAATAACAGACTGGGATTCTTGTGAGTGGCAGAAGGTCAGTCAGACACCTTGTCTGTTTGGTACAATTTATTGTACTCATTCTACAGGCAGGAAAACAAAGCCCAGTATGTCACTTTCCATAATCCATTGGGAAGTCTGGTAGGACCAGGAATGGCGCTTCTGGATCAAGGTCATTTAGGATAACAGCACAATTTTCCACTAGAAGATTATGGTAAAAAAACATGAAGTAATAAATAAAAAAAAAAAAAAAAAAAACAACAAGAGTCTGCCTCCAGTAATACAGTAAACTTCTCAATTTGAAACTACAAAAACAGCATTAAAAGGCATTAATCAAACAATCAACCCCCCATGACCTTCCTTCTCCAAGAGCTCCTGCCTGTGGATTGACAAAATGATGCAAAATCTCAGTATCTTACATATGGGTGCCTGAAATATATGGAGCCGGAAAGCTCCAGTATTACTGTTATCCTGCCAGAATACTAGATTCCTTCTTCTCAGATGGTTCGGCAGACTTCTAGGCTGTTATCCTACCATCCCTATCTACCTCTGCCAGCACTGTGCCTCAGCTTCATTTGCAAAACTGGAAATATGCAAAAAAAAAAACAAGACTAAACAAAAATTAAAAACACTATAAAAGGAATAATACTTTAGAACAGTCCTCGCTGAAGCTACATCAGTCTTATTTCTTCACTTCTGCAAGATGTGCTGCAGAAGGCAGCTAGAAATACTTCTACCAAAAGCAAATTACTCATTTAGCATCGTCTACAGCAACTATTTATACAGGACTTTTCTATGGGATATATTGGGATTTTTCCTAAACAGTACAAAACAATCCATTATTTAGAGTATTTCAAATACAGTGTTCAGAATTTGCAAACTATTACAACATACACGAGTTTACTCATGGAAAGGACAGATTTCAGAAGTCACAATATTGTGAGTTTTACAGAAAGTATGTTTTCCTTGAAACGACACTTGAATATCCTTGCAAGAGAAACTACCTTTAGCCTGTAAAGTGCAATTTCTGGCAACACTCCCTAAAGTAGAACACACTTGCCTCTAAAAATAAGCCATGGTGCTATCAGCAGCACAGATTACTTTTTCCTGGCAGAGAGAGCCCGATGCATCCACAAATGACTGCAAGCGGTGATAACCAACTGGCTCCAGCAGCTGGTTCAGCCGTCACAGCTGTCCTGGAAGCCACCCTCCTGTGTGACAGGGCGGTGGGCCCCACCACCATCAACTCTAGGTGCTCCCTGCATGGCAGTAGCACAACCTTAAGGCTGACAGCTCCCATGGCCATCGCCCGCGGGTGGCATTGGCCACGGGTGGCATTGGCCACGGGTGGCCGGTAGCATCCCCTGTGCCAGGGAGTGCTGGGGAGAAACCCTTGGCTCTGAGCTAGGGGCAGGCCTGAGGTGGAGACACCGGTGTGGACACCTTGAACGGGATATAGGGCGCAGGGGGTGTGTTTATGAGTGTGTGTAAATAGGTACGTGTGCATGCATATGCATACCTACGCACACACGCGCATGTATATGGCTGTGTCCGTCAGTGCATGCCCGTGTGCCATCCTGGTACCAGCCCCGGGCAGGGCAGACCGCGTCGGCTACCGCCTCTCCCGCCGCCGGACGCAGGAAGCCGTGGCGAGGCGGGTCCCCCTCGGCCGGTGCCCGACCCCCGCCGGCCCTCCCGTACACCCCGCCGGGCAGGAGGTCCCGCTCCTGGCCTTACCCTCGCCGTTCCCCTCCTTCTCCGCCATGGCAGCAGCCTCGCGCCGTCGCCATGGCGACGCGGGCCTGACGGGGCCTCTGCTCCCGCCGGCTGCTAGCGGCCTGCTTGCCGAGCCGGGCCGGGCTGAAAGCGCTTTCCTTGTGGCTTTCGCATCCTGCTAACGGCCATAGCAAGGGAAGGGGGATGGAGGCAGCCCCCTGGAGGCTCTGCGTGCAGGCTCAGTGCCTCACCGGGCAGGGAGCCACGGCCACAGTCCCCCCCAGAATGTGAATCAAGCCCAAAATGCGGATGCCGGTGCGGAGGTCCAGGCTCGGTCTGCGCCCCCGGCACGGGGCCCCACACCACCTCACGCTGGTGTTTCGGGCATCACTCCCCATTGTGCTGAAGAGATGGAAAAGGTGACCAAAACCCGCATCTATCCTATGAGGTGGGGGCCTTAAATAAGCCCCTTAATCCTGCCCCTTCACAGTACCCCTCTTCTCTTAAAAATAGTTTTCCCAGCAATTGCTGAGATTTTCATGTATTTGAGCTTTAGGAAGTGAAAGAACATTTTATTCTAAATACCATCACGCCGAAACAGCTAAAATATTCTGTCTTAGCGATATTAAATAAAACTGTGCAGTTTAAATTTAGCTGTGTGTTTTAGCAGACACACTTGCCGTGCCTGCTTCTTCTGACTCTAAAACAACTGTGAAAGTAGAAAAAAATATAAATATTAATATTCTGGCAAGATTAAATCATATATTCATAGAAAATAAATATTTATGAAATTCTTAGAACTAAACCTTGTCCTCACCACAGCAGGTGCTTGCCTGTTGGATGTTAAATTTTTGCAAAGCCCATTTGGATGACTCTTCCTACACCTCTCAAAGTTATGATGTGCTCAGTGTTTGTGGAAGCCTGAAATTAAAACAAAACAACCCACACTGAACCCAAATAGGGCTTCTTTGCTTTAGAATAGTCACCTTTTTATAAAATTTTAACATTTGCTATTTGCCTTTCAGCCACTTCTTTCTGCATTTTTATCGAGCGTGGCTCAGAGTAAGGAGGTTATAAAAGATACCCAAGAGAGTACATCTTTACTCTGCTGGGAGAACAGCTGATTATGCTAACAAGTTGATGCCTCTGAAAGGTTATCTTCTGACTTTAACAGTTTATTAGAGTAAACATTAAATATTTCAAATTACATGTTTGACTACAGAAGTAGCACAGATTGTTTCCTCTTAAATTGATAACAGAAGCTTTGATAAGAACAGCACGGCAGCCCAAGTTAGAGGATGCAGCAGAAGGAAGGGCTCTTTCAGTCTTACAGGGGTCCCACTTCTTATTCTCTCAACCCCACTGCACAGAAAACAGTCTTTCCTGCTTGTAGATCTATAGCAGTGGATCAGTTGTGTGTCTGAAACTGAACAACAGTGAACTACATCATTTTGGCAAGAATAAAACTTTCTTATCTCTTACCCTGCTTACCCCAACAATGGAATTTCATGTTGTTGAATATTGTGCCCAGCATTAGATTTCTTAAATCATTTTCAAGATCATCTGATTTCATCATAGGACATTCACAGCTTTTCTACAAACGTTATGCTAATTCAAAGTGTTTAACACATTTCCTAATAAAAACTTTTAAAATCCTGTTCTAGTTATTCAGGTTTTCATGTCAAATCCATACGCAAAATATGAAACACTCAGCTTTAAAATAGATACAAATATTGCCTGTTGTCCTGATTTATTGAGATTCTTGTGTTTTTACAGTAGCCTTTAAAGTGAGTCACTGCAAAGCAGTAAGACAGTAACTCTGCTCAGGCCACTAACTTTAACATCTTCCCAGCAATATCACCAGGGCTTGTGTTTGGCTTTCCTCAGCACGCTTTCCTATTTGACAAATGCTTGTCTTTGTTTTCTTCAACAGGAATGCCAATGTGTGTAAAAGCCAATCATGAAAGGGGAAATCATGAAGTACCTAACAGATATGACACATTGTGTATGCCACAATGTATTCTGTCCTGTTGTAGCAGCTGACTCTGGCCCTCTGGAGCTGCCACAATAGCTCCTCAGAGAGAGCATTGTTCAGAGTATATAAAAGTATTGATCAGATTATGGATGTTTGCACTTATTATGTTTGATACCTTTAGCCTAGGTGCAGAATTTTGTGTGACTTACAGCTGATACTAATTTCAGCAAACAGGATTTTCCCCTGTCCTACCCGTGTTATTGAGTTTCCACTCAGGACATTACTGTATATCAAAGTGTTTAATTTGCATCACCTGTTTCAGTTTGGAGTTTCCTTTTGCTTTCAATAGCTTGCAGCCAAATATCAGCACCTGTTTCTCCTTCTTCCCCCTATTCCAGACACACAGGACTTCGGTGCCTTGCCTGTCTCCAGTAGTACAGCAGTACAAAATAGGGAATGAGAAAGCACTTCAGAACTAGAATTCCCTGCTTTAAAATTTCCTGGCGACATACCCTGACAAAAATCTATGTAGGAAAAAAACGTTAACAGTTATAAAGCAGATCAAATATTGGACCCGAACCACATGACTGTTTCCCTTCTAACTTAATGCACAGACATCTCAAACCAAGGGTATGAGTGGGCTGAAACAACTAATCGCATTTTGGCACAGATAAGTACAAAAGGAAACCCAGAACTACTAATTCAACAGCTTGAAATATCAGCTGCTGCATGAAAGATCTTTAAAGAGCTCTTTTGAAGAGAACATACCCTTTTAAACTTGCAACTTTTCATTTAAAAATGTCAGAAAATATCTCAGGGAAAATATGGAAGAAACCAGCATTGTTGATATGAAGCCTGAATCCACTGAAATAGATATAAGATACCCCTGACTCTGCACCTAATTTCATCATATACATTCCTCTCAGCTATCAGGGTCCTATCACACATTTTGTATATTTTCCATGCATATGTTCAGAAATTTGTTCAGCAGTAAGAAACAGCTCTAAGATGGGAGAAGTGATGTAAAAGATAGAGCAGTTCAAGGAGGTGCAATAACATCCTACAACACAGTGTCCCACATGCCTTCAGGGTTGCAGCATTTGGATACATCTTTGCTCCAAACTCTTGCTGAACAGCTTTGCTACAGAACCCCATCTGTGGGTCCTTGGGGACCACATAACTTAAGGCACAAAGGAGTGTATTCATTTGCCCTTCACAGAGAAAGTAAATTAATAGCTATGATTCTGTGGTGGGAGTCTACCTGCAACTCTTCTGGAGCTAAATGGGTACAGCCCTACCACTCGGAGTGTTTTCATGTCACAGTACGCTTTTTTCACCAATATAATACAAATGACCCAAGTGCACTTGTCATCCTCATTCTACTCTTCCTCTGGGCTCAGCAGCTGATCCTAGTGACTCAGAAACAGCTTCTTCAAAACAGAGTATTATCTAAACATTATCTGTTCATTCAAATGATCCACAGCAATCAGATAAAAACGAGAAAAATACTCCATCATTCCTTGCCTATGCTATATCTTTCCCTTCAGATTTTGGGTAAATTACACTGAGAGCAGTTATGTCATTCCTTGATGCGTGGGAGGGAAGACAGCTTCTCTTCTGGCTTGTTCTCTTTGATAATGCAAGCTACGATCCTAAGCTTGGATCAGATGAGGAGGAGCCTAACAGGGTGGGGAGAGGCAGAAAAATAGGCATGCCCACCATTAGTTGCTCTACTATTGACCTCTTCCAGGTTGCTGAGATTCCATGTTAACTTACCTGTCATTGTTTTGTTTTCTTTTTGAAAAATATTAGTATTCCTGCACTCACCAGCAAAAAACACACACATTGGCAAGGGAGCTCCTTTACCTTTAATAAGGATAATAAATCTAGAAGCCTCAGATCTGATCTCTTAAATAAAATGTCAGGATATGATTCCTTGAGACACATGGCATTCACCAGTGCTGAATAGGGAGGATCCAGCTCTTTCTTTGTCTTGGCCTTCCTTCTCTTCTGCTGGTTGCACATTCTGATCCAGCTCTTTCTACCTGGTGCTGGCTCTGCCATTCATGGAAAGCTGGTATGAGTCACTAAAGTAGATAAAAACAATCCAAAAGTGAATAGTTTTCTGCCCTATTAAGAAACTTGGTAAAGGGTCTGAGAAGCATCTGAATCAGCACAGCCAGGAAATTGGACCATGCAATTAGAAGTGAGGGAGAGATAGGGAGGAAGGCAGGAAGACAAGATGTTCTTTTAGAGGGAGAAGGCTCATTGGCTGCCTGAGTCTTTAAGTAAAACTCAGAAGGAAAGAAAGGGAAAAAATAGGTTTGAAGGCCCCTTCTAATAGCAGCTTCACAAATCCTTCTCAGTCCACAGGATGGCTTTGAAACTGTCCTGGCAAATATCTCTTGCTGCTCATAGACAGCTACGACCCTATGGATCTTTATCTGCTCCTATCCAGCTTCAATAAAGCTGCATTTGAGGAAAAGTGACTGAACATGCATTACAAATGAGTTACTAGGAAAAAAAGAAGCATTTCTTTCCCTCAGCAATATTTCTCAATGTCAAGGCACTCTGGCAGTGCTTGGCCTCTGGGACTATGCCTAAAGGGCTGCAGCAGAAAAAAGCTCTCAATTTTATATGTAAGTGCAAGGATGCTGTTCCCCATCCCACCCAGGCTCAGAAATGGCCCTAGAGATCCACATATTTTAACCTTCAGACTTTATTACCATTAATTATATCTAGAAGTGAAGCCAGGATCCCTGAGAACACAGTGGCAGGAACAAAACACAATCATCCATCTGCCTAGCAACATGGGTTGCCATGAGTACTTCTCCCCATGCTCCACAGGCAGCAGGGGCTCGCCACTGAACACCGAGCCAACTTCAAGGGCCCCATACTGGTAAAGAAGGCCTGCTTTCTCCAAGGAAGACTTTGGTTTCCACATCCAAGATACATGTGTTCCTCTGGAGCCTAGAAGGTGTCAGCTAGCAGCCTGCAATTCAGGAATGAGAGACTTCTGCAGTAACAAGACATTGTCAGTGGAACTGCTGTTGCAGGAGACAAAAGCAGTGATGTTGGCAACACTGAATGCAAACTCCATTCTTTCCCTGTTTCTTTTGAAAATGTTCTTTGCACATGTTTAAATACTATGCAAAAAAAAAAAAAAATCCCAAATAACATACTATCAAATCACTGAATTTATGTAGTTAGGAAGAAACAAGAAACACCCATGAGTGGTACTGAAGGCATGGAAATACTCTCTAACACCCCTAGCTCAGGAAGTTCTTGAATCACAAAACGTTTGTAGGAGGCTGAGAGAGAGAGACGGAGTATTCAAGACACCAATTTGCCTAGCTCTCCACTCAGCACCTGCTTTAGGCCTCACTAGGATATGCAAAGAGATATACAAACCTTTGATATGACCCAGAAGGCTCCTTTTGGTGTTCTTAAAAAAGCAAAAGACTCTTTGATCATAGTTTAATATTTAAGGGAGGCCTTCTAATAATGTAGCTGTCTAGGAGCTGTGTAAAAATAGAGATGTAAAACACAAAATCATAGGTTTCAGACTGACGTTTGGACAACCACAATTGAATGGGAATGCCAAACACTGGGATTACGTTTATGTTACCAATATTATGAAGCTATCCTTTAAAAATAGCTATAATTGCATTGTTTGTTAAATGATAAGATGCAACTTAAGGGTATACAGCATGGCCTATATACCCTTGGTAAATAGGGGTAAAAATAGGTAAGCTGGCCCAAAGTACATTTTACAAAGCCATCAGCCATAAAGCTGCAGTAGTTAGCTTTGGGATGAGATGAGGAACTAAAGTTACACATCTGAATGATCATATATGGCATCAGTTTACATGAGGCACAAAAGAATACCTTGTAATACTTAGGAAAATCCGTCTAGTGCATGAGTAGTAGAATTACTTTCTTTCACGTGTCAAGATTATTTGGGCATGGAGATGTTGCTCCACTCACGAGGTTAGTAACAACCAAAACCAAAACGAACCTGGATATAAGAAAACACATCAATTTAAGCACTTAAGATTTTTCTGTTTTCTTCAGAATGCAAGTTTTTATTTATTAAAAAAAAAACAACCCACAACACCAAAACACCCCT